CGATCATGATGATATGAAGATGCCACACATTATGCTTTTCGCGATGGAGAATATTCCGCCCTTGCAGGAGCTGACTTATCACTATAACTACTGTGTTGATCAGATTCGGGATTCCCATGGCAATATTAAGGTGAAGAAGTGTTACTGTGGTGCTGCACAGTGTACTGGTAGGATGTACTAATAAGGGTATTTGCAATTTACTGTTGTTTTTGTTGGATTGGATGTCGGATTCTGTAAGTTTTCAGAATGTTTTATTGTATGTATTTGACTGTTTGAATATGGGTTGCGGATCTTTTGTGATGCTGCCAGGGGTTTGACAATTTATGTTGTGTGTTGTGGTGCTTGTGGTGGCTGGCCTGGTTACTTTTAAGTTTGTAGGGAGATTTGTTAATGGCCAACAAATAATGAGTAACCACCACATATACAGTAATGCTCACCTACCTACGGTGGGCACATGTTAATATGTCCACCGCACATGTTAATATCACCATACATACAAACAAAATCCTTAGAAATCCTTCGGGGTTAGGTGATGCAATCGTAGAAATCATAGAATAATGCTGTGCAACACAAATATAATGGTTAACGTAAATTTTGACATAATGTATACGTAGCATACGGTTACACATCACATCACCTTTAAAATCAACAACCCAAAATACTTACACTTCATCATGTCAACCATTATTTCAAAATAGCATGTATGACCAGATGAATACAGAATATATTTCATTTGTTATGCCATTTTCTGATGACTCTTGTTATCCTCTTCAGTAGAAGTGGTTGTTGGATCTATGACGATCATTCAATACTGCGAATTCGTTCGTTTACATCTTAACTTCTATGCGCAGTAGAATATATAGAGTTTATCTAAGTCGTACCGTTTAAAATTTGTTAACTCTTAGACGATATAAGCCGACGAGATAAAAAAACTCGAAGTCTTGTTTACCACATGATCTTTTGTTTGTATTCCTCACCAAGCTTAGATGTCGTATGGACAACGACTATTGAACCTCATTAGTCATCCATCGATGAATCATCTTCCAAAAAAAAAAAAAAACTTTTGTGTATCAATTATTTTAGAACTAGGCAACACAATCTTTTAAGAAATATCACGATTCTCTATCTCTTCCCTCACAAGTAGCACACAATTTTCAAGTCAAGAGAGCTTACTTGAACGTACATCTGGTATATATAGACTACAGCAGGGACCTTAAGGAAGTATTAAGGTAAAGTCTCATTGTAGTATTAGTTAAACTGAAAAGGGCAAACCTTTATACTTATGCTCATCAATAACTCAATCCACTGAAGAGTTAATATTGCACTATCTTCCCTATATCCAAATTACATATCGGCTCTATTTATTATAATGTCGTTCATTTCCCCATGATTAAGATATAAAATATATGTTAATTAATTAATTACTGATAATTTAATTAATTTACTTATTTTATTCTGAAACTTGTACCATTCAACTTTATTATGAGTTTATTTCGAACACATCATCAACCAGACCGCATCAATACACAAATTCCTTTCTAACTTGTTGACTTAATAAAAAAAAATCTCACTCGCTGATGAACTAAAGAAATCCTCCCTATATATAATTCCTGAATGCGCTGAGCTTACGTGGTTGTTTTTGGTGCTTCGGAATCCTGTTTGGCGAAGAATCATGCTTCGTAATTAGGTTTGAACAAATAATATTGATATATTAATAATTAATAATCTAGGTTCGGGTATTCCATAAATATTATTTAGCTAACTTAGGTATTTTAATATTACTTGTACTAATATAACCATTTAATTCTTTGTAATCTTACATCCCTAAATTTTGATTTGTTTCTTTCAATACGCTAATGAATTATAAATGTATTTTAAAAGTTGATAAATTTCATATCTTTTGTCGGTTTTACATATATAATATATCAAATTAATCATCTTTTGATGATCTTCGATTTGACATCCATATTGTATATATGAAATAAATAAAAAGCTAGCTCCTCTTCCTGTTCTATTTATCATAAAAACCTATCCTATATCATTTCCACCCCGCTCCTACCACGCTCTTCCCCGCACTTTCCCGATCCCCTTGCTACGGCGATGCCCTAGTCGGGTATCGCGACCATGCAATTTTCGAGCAAGAGTGTGAATGATATTCTAAATCAGTTTTGGGAAGATTTTGATAAAGGATTGATAGATGAGATCGGCTGAAACACGTATGGGTTCGGGGAAAGGAAACCCTGAATATTGGGTAGTTGTTGTTAAACCGGGAGAAACCTATCATCATGTTCGAGAATTTCGAAAGAAGAACTGAGAGTGATTGACACCAATCAAGTCAGCTTGAAGGACTGAAGTTCGACCAATGTTAACCAAATAACTACCGAGCCCCAACTAGTATCGTGTCGAACTACCTTCGTTGAGGCTCGATATAATTGACCTCGAGGCAAAGACTTTTATGCGCCACTAGTCTCTAAGGTTTGTGTTGGATATGATGTGCTTCCCTATTGGCCTTTTTCGAGTTATCTTTCGCTCTTGTCATT